ACAAATATACAGTTAGTTTAGTATCACCAACCTACAGTTAGTTTAGTATTAAGAACCCACAAATAGTTTAATATAGCAATCCTAAAGTTAGTTTTGTATTATAAACACAAGTTTACTTTAGTATCACCAACTTACACTTAGTTTAGTGTAATGAATCTCCAGTTAGTTTAGTATCACGAACCTATTAGTTTAGTATCAAGAACCAACGATTAGTTTAGTGCACGAACCTACATTTGCTTTAGTATCACGAACCTACAGTTAGTTTAGTAAACCGAACCTACAGTTAGTTTAGTATCAATAATCTAAAGTTAGTTTAGTATTACAGTAAAAGTCGTTAATGTTGTCCATTTTCCCAGTCTTGAGATACATACTAACAAAATTCTGTTCTATTTGCTGATTATAGAGGACGAGTGTTAATAAAGAAGCCTTTCCCCAAAGCCCGTGATAGTCAAGTGTCTTGGAACATTGGGGATAAATTTCAGGTAATTGTGTTTATTACAGAGGGTGAGTGTTTTATTATAATAAAGAATCCATTCCAAAATCCCGTGATAGTCATGTGTCTTGGAACATTGGGGATAAATTTCAGGTAATAGTTTTTTTTCTGGGGGTGAGCGTTTTTATAGAAGATGGAAATCGTCTCAAAAGCCCGTGATAGTAATGTGCCTTGGAAGATTAGAGATCGGTTAAATGTAACAGTGTTTTATTACAGAGATTGAGTATTTAATAGAATAAAACCACCCTAAATGTCTGTGCTAGTTTTGGAACATCGGGGACAATTTCCACGTAATATCTATTGTTTATTTTAACTTCTTGTACGGTGAATAATGTATATGTAACCTCGGTGTTAAGTGATTACACTGTTTATTTCTCCAGTTATGATACTAGGGATGGGATTACGCCTGGATAGCGTAGACATTTCTCTTAGGTAGAGTTTTCAAATACTGTTACGTCCAATGTGCCAAAACTATATTTTACATCCTCTCCTTGGAGTGTTGATAACGTAATTTTTGTATCCGCACTTAACGTTGAGTTACGTGAGTATCCGAGTTCCGGGCTAGCTGCCATGAACTTACTCAAGTGAATAAAAGCTTTATTTTGGTAGAAAACGTGCTTACTTCCTTGTGGAATATTTTGACATTGGAATAGGTTTTAGGGCGTTGTTGAAACAGAAACTATCTTTTCACTTCACTGAGTTAGCCGTTGAAGTGAAAAAATACATTTAAAATATGGATGAAACCATAATTGTATGTCGTATAGACATTGGCGTGTGTCCGGGGTGATATTTTTATTGATTTTGTGGAGACGTTTTTGGCTTCTGTTTGATGACCGTTATGATGTAATTTTGAACCAAAAGTCCGTTGTGACGTTCAACTCAACGGTCTTAACAAACACTATCCAACTTCCGTACCCGTGGGCGTAGACGAACGATTTTCGAGAGTACTGATTCAATATCTAGAGCATTATCTTAGTTTTCAAGTTTGTTTGAACCCAGGTGTCTTCAGGTGTGCCGGAGCTTTAAAAGCATGGCGCGACCCCCTCCACGACTCGCCGGGAACTGGGTAGGAAAACAGCTGCCGTATGTCTACCGTATAACGTCCTACTATGCCCTTGGACACAAACGCGCCAATCCGTGCGTCGAGAGTCTGCCATGTGACTGTCTCCCGCCAATGATGCAGCGCCATTTTCAAATTTCTCTCTCTCTTTGTCCTGGGGTAACAACGGTATTTTACTACTTTACGAAATCATATTCAAGGTAGTACCACGAATCAAGGATTTATAATATCGTAACGGATGGTACTGTAAATGGTCAAAAGCTAAATATATTTCCGTCTCTATCACATTTAACCCAGGTGAGTGAAGTTTCTTGATAGTAAGATAGTAGTGTTGTATAGAGTGTTGTTCTGCTAGTGGATTCATTACTACCTACTACCTTTTACTTTGTGAATGGCATACCATCCTTACGTTGGCGATATATTCTTGACTTCAAATTTTGGTAACCTCCTAGATATCGGTAAGTGGTATTTCTGTAAACTTGAATTAGAATATATATTTTGAAACGAAATTCAAATCTTAGTTGTTACATTTCTACAGGTGAGATTATTTTTCCACTTTCCGTCTTATGTTTCTAACGGTTTCTGTAGACAAAACAAAGCCCTTGTAACTTCTAAATGTTTGTTTCGCCCATGTTTGTTATTCGTTCTTTTTCTAAGAACACTTAATCCGAATGTTAACAACTAAAAACATAAACTAATATCGTCATTAAATTGATTTATATATATATATGCTTAAAAATACGTTAAAACGACCCTTTCTTAAAATCAAGAAACTCGGTGAATGTACAGCAATTGGAGAAGAATATGTAAAACCTAAAAGTAAACAGTACGCTTTTGGTTTCCACTTTGACTCAGTTTGGGTGTAACATTATGGTAACGTTTTTTTTTCTTCTTTTCGTAAAATATTATACAATTGTATATGTTTATTAAAAAAAAAGTTTGAAAAAGAGAACCCCGTCGTTCTAAGTAAAACGAACCTTGTGTTCTCTTTTGTGGTAGACGTATAGAAACTTCGATCAGACTAAGCTTTATATTTTGAGCGAAGCTAAAAAATAAACCTGACCATCAGCGTAGCTAATTAAATATACTTTTCTTACGTTTCTATTTATCAAGATTAGAATGCATTGTTTCATCAGTTGAGTATCGTTGTTGTTGTTAATGGTATTTTCAGGCATAATACCAATATAATAGAATAAACTGAAATTATTGGCCGGATAAATCTTACGATAAAAAATATCCCCAACTTCCCGAAAAGCATGTATGTTTTGATTGGTAAATATTTTCTTATAGAAGTGCTGATGCATATATTGGGAAAGTTACAGGTTAACAACGTTCGAATGGCAAAAAAAAAAGAAATACCTGGCGACACGTGTAAAAAACAACGTATATTACCAAATATAATAATTGTAAGTAAACATATTTCCCAAAATAATACATGCATAAAGTAACGAATATAAGTTATAATACAGAAGGAATGGAAAGCGCACGCACATACGTTCAACTTTCACACTTCCCCTGTAGAAACTAAAGAAAAGATACTAGTTTTGGCGCCGACGAACTGCGTCGTTAGAACATAACCATTAGTTACTCCAGAAATGAAACCGTATTGTTTATCAGATCATTTCGATTGAAGGATATGTCTCACGAATGTAAGTGTAAGTAACGTTTAGAGAAAAAAATATTAAAAACGAAATTCTAAGTTTGATAGTAGTAATAAACGACTCGAACCAGTGTAGTGGTTTTCACGCGAAATGCAGATAAAAGTTTTAGTTAATTAAGCAATTTAGGATTTTTATAGCAATATCTTTGAATATTATATTCTAATATACAATTCTTTTGAAGTACGTATAAAAGATAACAGGATTACTGTTAAGGCCTAAAGTCATACACGGTTAGGTTGAAATAATATTATTACTACAGATAATTTTCAACAATTTGAATATTTTTCTCTGATATACGTTTGAATTACGTCTAGAAGTTAACGCTATCACTGTTAATGTTATGAACTTTATATTTTGTTAGGGTAGAACAGCACTCGCTACAGATAATTTTTAACAGTTCGTATATTGTATTCTGAGATAAGTTTGAAGTACGCTTAGTAGTTAACAATATCACTATTAGTGTTACGGCCTAAAGTGTTACATCGTTCGGTTGGAATGTCAATCACTACAGATGATTTTCAACTATTTGAATATTGAATTCTGACATACGTTTGAAGTACGTTTGGAAGTAAATAATATCACTATTAAGGCCTATGTCTTAAATCATGTTAGCTTAACATATCATTCAATACAGTTAATTTTTAATGCAAATTAATCATAATAATGTGTTTTCGTACTTATCTAACATACTTGACTAAAAACATTCTTATATAACAATTTTAACAAGTTACTGTCGATTAACATGTATAATACTGGTTTTAATATGTAACAGTTGTAAATACTAAACAATGTCTGTAATAGACAGACAGAGAGAGTCTGTGAGGAAAAGAAACACTTTGTATTCTGACAATACCGATCAGTGCTACTGTTAGTGTGTGAGGGACCAATCATAAGATGGTCTTTCCATATTCTGTTGTTGAGCAAGTATTAGAATATGGCAATGATGTATATATACTAAAGATTAATGCTGTCACAGTTTTACCATCTGAATAATAAAACTATCAAAATTCAAGCTCTTAAATTTTTGTTTTTGTAAAAAATAATTGTTAATTCCTGCTATAAGTTAATGCATTCTTTAATATAACAAATGTTTTTAGTATGCGATATGTACATAAGTATTAAAGAGAAAATAACCAGAGATCAAGCCTGTATCTAGGTTTCCTGTTTATGTACAAATGTGTATAGTGTACAATATACCAGTATTATAGAGAAAATACACAGAGATCAAGCCTATATCTAGGTCTCCTGTTTATGTACAGATACATCCAGACATGTGTTGTGTACAACATCAGTATTATAGAGAAAATACACAAATATCAAGCCTGTATCTAGGTCTCCTATTTATTTACAGATATATCAATAACGTTTTTGTTTGTTTGCCATATGAATATATTTCAGTTCACTCTTCAGTACAGTAATAGATACCAATGAGCTGGAAACACTGACTGTTTGTATAATTTGTTAAGTAGAAATAAGCTTTTGCATTGATTTAAATCAGCCAAAATGATGAGAATTATCTGAACATTATTCAGTTGTGAAGTCACTGAAGTGTATACTACTTTATATTACCTTAGGCCTTGTAGGTGGAACTAAGAACGATCCTTTAGGCCTAGTAATAATTCGTTTTATTGGGTGATACATTAGTTAACGTGTACATCAATTCGCTGATAACAGTTTGTTTTTTAGACTATAAGTACGTTTATCTTTTTGTTTTAATTAGTTGATAGATGTGAAATAAACCTGAAAATTAATGGCTTTATTTGAAAGTAAGAGCGTGAGACAATATTTTTTATCAGCTTCTTTAAATTAAACCAAATGCTGTTTGTAGTTTTTATTGAGTTACGGTAACGTACAGCAGATTTCTTCGTAAGAACAACAAAAACTGTCTGTCTGCACATTCTGAGATAATATCACCCATGTAAAATTCAGAGAATTGCCCATTTAACTCAAATCCTATCATTAAATTTTTAATGAAAAAGAAAAACCTATGTTACAAAACAAAGTGTTAATCTAAGATAACATAAAATAAAACAAAAACAATAGTAGTTAATTAGGCAACACTGATTACGTATAACCATTGAAGTGATTTAGGTAAATTTATGTAAAACAAAAATTTAACTTTGCAGGTTTTTCAACTGAGTAGCAGGTGTTTAATTAACTTTTAGAAACGTGACACTCTAACAAAGAAAAGAACTTCCAAATCTGTTCCTGACTATACTGCTGGACTTGGTGAATTATTGACTAGAACTTCCACATTTAGTTCCTGGCTACAATGCTGGACTCGGTGAATTGTTGGATTAGAACTTCCATATTTAGTTCCTGGCTACAGTGCTGGACTTGATGAATTGTAGGACAAGAACTTTATATTTAGTTCTTGGCTACATTGCTGGACTAGGTGAATTGTTGGATTAGAACTTCCATATTTAGTTCCTTGGCTACAGTGCTGGACTTGGTGAACCAAGAACTAAATATAAAGTTCTAGTCCAACAACTACAGTGCTGGACTTGGTGAATTGTAGGACAAGAACTTTATATTTAGTTCTTGGCTACATGCTGGACTTGTGAATTATTGACTAGAACTTCCACATTTAGTTCCTGGCTACAATGCTAGACTCGGTGAATTGTTGGATTAGACCTTCCATATTTAGTTCCTGGTTACAGTGCTGGACTTGCTGAATTGTAGGACAAGAACTTCATATTTAGTTCTTGGCTACATTGCTGGACTTGGTGAATTGTTGGACTAGAGCTTCTATATTTAGTTCTTGGCTATAGTGCTGGACTTGGTGAATTGTTGGACTAGAACTTTATATTTAGCTCTTGACTACAGTGCTGGACTTGGTGAATTGTAGGACAAGAACTTTATATTTAGTTCTTGGCCACAGTGCTGGACTTGGTGAATTGTAGGACAAGAACTTTATATTTAGTTCTTGGCCACAGTGCTGGACTTGGTGAATTGTAGGACAAGAACTTTATATTTAGTTCTTGGCCACATTGCTGGACTTGGTGAATTGTTGGACTAGAACTTTATATTTAGTTCTTGGCCACAGTGCTGGACTTGGTGAATTGTAGGACAAGAACTTTATATTTAGTTCTTGGCTACATTGCTGGACTTGGTGAATTGTTGGACTAGAGCTTCTATATTTGGTTCTTTGCTATAGTGCTGGACTTGGTGAATTGTTGGACTAGAACTTTATATTTAGTTCTTGACTACAGTGCTGGACTTGGTGAATTGTAGGACAAGAACTTTATATTTAGTTTTTGGCTACATTGCTGGACTTGGTGAATTGTTGGACTAGAGCTTCTATATTTAGTTCTTGGCTATAGTGCTGGACTTGGTGAATTGTTGGACTAGAACTTTATATTTAGTTCTTGGCTACATTGCTGGACTTGGTGAATTGTAGGACAAGAACTTTATATTTAGTTCTTGGCTACATTGCTGGACTTGGTGAATTGTTGGACTAGAACTTTATGTTTAGTTCTTGACTACAGCGCTGGACTTGGTGAATTGTTGGACTAGAACTTTATATTTAGTTTTTGGCTATAGTGCTGGACTTGGTGAATTGTTGGACTAGAACTTTATATTTAGTTTTTGGCTACATTGCTGGACTTGGTGAATTGTTGGACAAGAACTTTTGTATTTAGTTCTTGGCTTTCTTGGCTACGAAAGATCTGGTACCATTATCTAAATAAAATATTGACTCACAAAGTAAGGTCAGGTACCATTATCTAAGTGAACTGTTGACTCACAAAAGAAGGCCGGGTACCATTATCTAAATAAAATATTGACTCACAAAAGAAGGTCAGGTACTATTATCTAAATAAACTGTTGACTCACAAAAGAAGGCCGGGTACCATTATCTAAATAAACTGATGACTCACAAAAGAAGGCCGGGTACCATTATCTAAATAAGCTGCTTATTTACATAATAGAATAGTAGGTACAATGTAGAAATTATCTATTGTTTCACTGAAAATAGGTGCTACTGTATCGTTGTCGCGAGAGTTTGTATGGGGTTCTGCTACCTGGCGGGAAATCCTCTAACTGCTATTATCGTACAAGGAAGCCTGATTACTGCAAACAATTTTGCTTTATTTCTAGCAGTAATTATAAAACGCAAGTTGTGGAAAACTTGGTGGCATGGATTTAATCATTCCAACTAATATCACATTTTAGACATCGTCCCTTGTTATGATTAGTATCTTACAAGAACACCTAAGTGGAATTAGTAAATATTTGCGATTATTATTATTAGATGTTAATGGCTAACTACTTTACTTTCTGTGTCTTTCAAGAAACCCCTAACAGGGTGAGAAAACAGACGGGAAGTTAACACAGCAGTAGCATCACTAACAAGAAGAACCAGGAGCGAACCCCGGAGAAGTGTCCAATGATAAAAATTGTACTAAATAATCTGTAATTAAACTTAGGTGATCGTATAGGCTACTAACTAAAACAACTATAGTTTTCGGTAATTTTTTTAAAATGATTATTTAACTTTTCCATTGTTGTAGCTCATGGATACGTAGAGAGTTTTCCATAAATGTGCAAAATATCATTGTTTAATTTGCGAACTGTTGCAGTCCCCTGGTACGTAAGGAGTAGTTGGTAAATGTCCAAATATCATTGTTTAATTTGCGAACTGTTGCAGTCCCCTGGTACGTAAGGAGTAGTTGGTAAATGTCCAAATATCATTGTTTAATTTGCGAACTGTTGCAGTCCCCTGGTACGTAAGGAGTAGTTGGTAAATGTCCAAATATCATTGTTTAATTTGCGAACTGTTGCAGTCCCCTGGTACGTAAGGAGTAGTTGGTAAATGTCCAAATATCATTGTTTAATTTGCGA